TGTACAAGCCAGTGCTTTAATCCTAGACTGGTCTGATACCATTTAACCGGCCACGGACGTACGGAAGAATTGGTAACTTAGGTGGATATCATCCTGGTTTCGATCCCCAGACTGTGCGTGTCTGATGATGCGCCACTTGCCTCTAGACCACCTTCACCCATTTAACCACCACCGGTTAATAATATAAGCAGGCAAGACCATATGCTGAATTGAGGTGGTACTGGAAAACCGCAAAAAGAACTTCGGGCCAGAAAAAAATTAGAGGCTCCCTTGAGGAAGCCTGTAAACTCTCGCAGTTGTTTTTCAGCTGTCTTGAGCCCTCTGAATAAATAAATAAATCCGAGTTGATTATAAACCGCCAGGAATGCATATCGATCTTTAGGGAACTTGGGGACAGAAAAGTGTTGGGGTATTAATGTGAATGAAAAAAATTGCCAAAGTTTCAGACTAATTTAGATCCATCTACATAACCTAGTTGAGGATGCGCCAGGCATTGGACTTATATTTTCATTCCGTCTTTATTTGGATTTCTATTGAAAGACAGTATTAAAAGGTGTACGAGTGTCCTATGCAACCTTTGAATGGCGGATAATATGAGAAAAAAGGGGGTGTATAATTGTTTTGTGAATATTTTTATTTTTACTCGATATTTTTCTAGATGATTCTGTCTATCGCCTTTTGCCTCAGCTTGTTTCTGTTTCTCATTAGGCATGGCCCTCTTGAGTGCGGTGGCCTTTCTTTTCTGACAGGGCTCTATCTTTGCCCCAGACAATTAGATTATGGGCTCTCATAGGAGGTGGTGAATCTCATTGCGTTATTTCTTTGGAAGTCTATATCCCCATACCGAGGATATAACTGGTAGTGACTTTGCAATTCAATAAGTGTTTTTGTTTTTACGATCACCCATGAATCCAATAAAAAATCACCTCTTAAATTAATTAAATGTCCTTCATTGCAGCTACTATATATGGAAGGTCACAGGAATTGCAAAAAATAGTTTGCAGTAGGTCGAACGTGTTCTTGGAACCCCATGAATTGGGTCTCAGGTCCTTTCCCATCTCCGATGTAGTGGAGTGACATTTAAGCTGGTAAATGGGAATGGTAGCTACGTTTGTTTGTTTATAGCCTTACTCAAGTGAATGCTGAACCAGTACCTACCTTTAGCTTATATGAGGCGGTTGATTATTACCATTTTTTTTTTTGAGAGTACGCCATGCACTTTCAACTGGCATTGCGAAAAAATCTGGCTTACATCCAGTTCGGACCAAACAGCCATCTGAAGAATGAGCAGCACTTCTTCCCTTTTGGGAAGGTGTCGAACCGAAAACCCAACCTTTGTTCCAACTGTTATACATTACTATTATTTCTGTAGGGTACCGATAGGCCATGGTAAATCGACTTCCGAGAAGTACGTAGTGGAAGGGCACTTGGGGTCCCGCTAATATGAAGGGCAAACAAGGGGCCTTAAAAACTTTGGTGGTGGAGGTTCTAGATTCCTATGAGGCCAAAATACCACCACATCACACCTCTTTCCATGACTTAGTACTTTTGGTACCCAGTTGGTAATAAGTTGCAGCTTATATTTTTGTTTATATTTACTATCTGGATTCATTCACCACCAAGTCTTTCACAAATAGTGCTTATGCCCTTACATATACCACTGTCAAATGCAGTATATAGTAGCTGAATTGTTCCGAACGCCTTGTGTGGTTGACACTAATGGGGTGTACGCCCAGAAGCTAAATGGATACAAACTGGGGACAGAGCCGCAGCTGGGGCTCCGTAGCCTCATGCTACCATAATATGATTGAGTCCGTATAATTGCGTCGTCGTGTTTGTCGTTGTGTGTTGTTCCAGTGACAATGACTGCTAGGCTACCAATCCCATGGGTGTTTATTAGATCAGAAACGGATTCGTATTCCAGACGATTAGCGAGCGCTCTGAACGATGTCTGATGGTGGCTAGTCAGCAGGCAGCTTGCTTCTTGCCTAATCTACTAAGCTGACGGCCAGGTGCATGAGGAAAAGACTCTCTGGGGACCTCCTGAAATACCTAGTTGTGGTTGCCCAACAAGCCCTTGACTTAAGAGCTACCATTTCTGAAAGGTAGCAGAATAAATGATTGTTTTGAATCGAGCTTTTCACCCACAGAGGAAAGGAGTTGTGATGGACAGTCCTGGCAGTACAATTTCTGCCCTAGCTCCTATTACTCTTCCGCCAGCATAGCCCTATGGATAGCTCCAGATTGCTCTTTTTTGTAGTACGGATAAAAGAGTTCTTACTGGTTTCTTGGGTTGATAGCTGCTTCAAAATGGCCACGGAAACGGTCCAGAGGAACCCTCTTTAACGAAAATGGTGCCGGTTGCAGCTCCATGCCCAAGTAGGACCCAGAGCAAGAATATGATTAAAGCAGCAAAAGTGAAAAGAAGGATGGCCACAACTTTGACGTGCAACTGGTATTGTTAATATTCTAACAAGCTACAGCTACTTCCTAATTCCCACACCAAAGGACCAACCAGCTCCAAAGGAATGGAAGTAAGGGTCGTTCTGGGCTTTGTTGAGCCGAGATTTGATCCCTGGACCGCGTGTGCATGTGATGGTGCGTCACTTGGTACCACACTACCTCTATTTTCGTTGTCGAGAACCCAGCATGATCCACAATTGCTATACAACTATTGCATTTCAAAAAAGCAATGGGTTGACGTTCCTATCCGGCCTTTCACTCTTTTCCACTTAGTCCCCAGTCTATTCTGGACGTTTTCTTATGCCATGACGTCTTTTCGAAATATCAATCCTTTCAGTGTACCTGCTGCAACATTACACAATCAGTCAGTTACCGTAGTGCTTACGCCATTAAAGTGGTAACGATCACCATTGACCACCACTCGTAGCAGTTGTCGAGTGTCAGACAAATTGTTTCGTGTACCACCTGTGCGTTAAACGATCGTCGGCTAGGCTTTGACGACGATTTTTATGACCTCCAAAGGTGCTAACCGGAAGGCGACAAATGTGTATCACAGATTGACTTCTGGAATATGCAGAGGAATGAGGGACCATTGACTTTTATGATTGTTTCGGAAGGTTTCAGATTGGTCTAGGAATCAGAATTGGAGTGTGAAATAAGGGATTCGACTCACCCAGTAGTTGGGTCCCTATCTCATAATGCAAGCTTTAGAATGGGAATTCTTATAGAAGCCGGTTAGGGTTTCTGATGGAGAATTCCTATGGGAGCCGGTTAACCCTACTCGAGCAGTGAGTTACCACGCACACTTGTGGACAGGTCTCAAACTACCCAATCATGGCGAAGTCTCTTCCATGTGTTACTGTCTTCAATCAGAGGCAAGAATGGGCAAGGAAATAGGACTACCACTGGGCTACTTCTACTAGGTTCTGAGGTCTTAAGAAGAAAGAAGCGGGTGCTAGTAACTTCTCCGGGTGGATCGTGACTTTCATCGAACTATGAGGCTCAAGGAAAGCTCAACATAGTCAAGCTGTCCGACGTTTTGGCTTCTGCTTGCACAAGAATCCAATTTGAACCGAGAAATCCGTGGATCGCATTTTCCATTTTAGTAGGCCTTCAATTACAGAATCCTTCACAGAGTTCAAGGACAGTACTGATTGTGTCCAAGTTCGGAGTACGGTAATGACGATAAGTGTCGGTTCATCAATGGCCAGTAAGTCTGGCGGCCTGGTGACAGTTTACGTCACTGACGCCTTCAGATAGCGCGACCGAGCCGACGGACAACGAGAAGAAAAGGTCGCACGATTGTGTTACGCGGCACAGACCGGTATCAGCATCAGGCCTGCCAGTCATCAGTAACTGTGAGATGGCAGTTAGGTGGAAAGACGGGAGAGAAGGGACTACTGGAGTCACCAGAGGTAACGTTCCGAGGGGGTCCAACGTCGGAATCAGCTCATCCCGAAGGATCAGCTACCAAGATTCGTTACCTGTCCCTGCATCCCTAAACTGAGGTATCGCTTCGAAGGGGATCGACGTTCTGTTACTGCAGCTACGTTAAGTATAGGAATGTCCTGATCCGCTCGGAGTGGATGGAAAGACGAGTTTTTTGCCTAGAGAACAGGAGCCACAGACTGCCTATTCACTTTCTACACCATCAATGTTCTTTTAGTGCTTCCAGGTTCTCATACAGTGATACCAAGAACTAGGAAGTCTTGACCCGGATAGCTGATTGTCACCATAAAATGCTACTGACCAAAGTTATTTGTTTATTTGAGGACGTGAACGAAGTTTGGGATGAAGAATAAACAATACTTCCAACAAGACAACATGTTATTCTCTCTGCGAATAAAATCAGCCCTTTGCTTCTGACCATTGGGTCGGGACCTTCCATCCACTGACTTCCATTGAGATTCTCATAGGCACTAGCATGAGTGATTTTCAACCAATAATATTTTCCTCTGAGGGTTCCTCTCGAGGCAACATCTAACCTTTCCCGGTGAATGAAAAAACTGATTTCTTTCCATTACCTCTTTTTTCGGCAAAAACTCCACCTTTCTAGAGCCTAACAAATCGAACGTAGCACCTCCAGTCATTGCACAAAACAGAAAAAGGCAAATGGGTACCCTTCTCTCTTCCTCTCTTTCACTTTCTCTGTTTCCCTTGCTCTCTTTTCCTCTCTTCTCTCTCTTCCTCTTTCTCTTTCTCTTCTTCTTTCTCTTTTCACTTTCTTCCTCTTCCTCTTTCTCTTTTTTCCCTTTTTTCTTTTTCTTTTTCTTTCTCTTTCTTTTCTCTTTCTCTTTCTCTTCCTCTTTCTCTTTCCCTAAATCCCTCCCTCCTCCCTTCCTCCTTCCTCCCTCCCTCCCTTTCGGCCTTTCTCTCTATGCTTTTATCCATCCAACCTCCCTACCACCTCCCATACTCTTCTATACTTCGTACCTCCCTACCATAACTCCAAGTTCTGCCACTTGTTGGTTTTCTTCTGAATATTGACCACATTTGAAGGATCGATATCGAGTGATGAACTGATTTTCAGAGAAAAAATGCCACTCACAACCAGAAATCAAATGACCATAGAAAAAAGTCCTGCCTACTTTCATAGCAAGACAGCCGCCGAGCGAATTCGAGCTCTAAATCCAGCAATGAAAATCATCGTCGTTGTTAGGGATCCGGTGATGAGAGCTATTTCAGGTAAGACCAGGATTTGGCTCGTTGCCAACGGTCGTTTCACTATCTTACTTCTCCATATTTCAGATTATACCCAAGCTTCTTCAAAGCGTAAATCGCTTGGAATGATGCCAACATTCGAAGATATGGCTGTCGGTGACTGTGCTCCATGGTTAAAGACGAACTGTTCCTCGAAAGTGGGTGGAGTGAATGTTGGCTGGGGAGCGATTCGAATTGGGCTCTACCATAAGCACATGAAAAGGTAAGAACAAATTTCTGGTGGCCTAGTTTATTGACAATATTTTTGAATTTTTAGATGGCTAGACAACTTTCCCATGGAGCAAATCCACATTGTGGACGGCGAACGGCTTGTTGCTCAGCCGGCATTGGAAGTCAGCCAGACGGAGAAATTTCTTGGACTAAAGCCAGGTAGGTAAAACCGTGAACGACTCACTTGGAGGCACAGTTTTAAATAGAATTTGAAGCAATTTTTCAGTTGAATTAGTTACTTCGCAGTGGAAGTCACCGTATATTTATTTATTTATTTACAAATAGAAGATAAACAACGCTCAGAAAGAAAATTTTCTTAAATTGTAGCTTTTTCACTTTTAAAGCGACTTCAAAAGGTTCTTCTTCTTTGAATTATCCGATTATGAAGAAAAACGGCTCCTTCTCAAGAAATTCCTTGCATGAGAGAGAGGAATTCAACTGTTGTGTCTGCGGAGCGAGGGCGTGGCATGTGAAGTGGGCGGGGTCCGTGGAATGCCAACAACTTCGTGTTCTTTTTTTTATCACTGCTTTTGCTACCCGTATTCTCTGGGAAGCAATCTAATTACCCTGAGTTTATCACCTACAGAAGTGGGAAGGGTCCAAAAGCCTCGAGAGAGCGCAGAGTTGATAGCATCCGGATAGTGTCCTTATTTGGGTTCCATGGCGCATTCTGGGTGTCGAAATAAATCAATCATTCCGTGTATTACTTTTTGGACCTTTTTAACTTTTTATTTAATTCTACTTCTTAGTTTCAGTGGTGAAACCAGAACACTTTGGAATCGATCCAGTGAAGAAATTCCCATGTGTGCGACGTTCTGATGGTAGTCTACATTGTCTGGGAAAGACTAAAGGCCGAAAACATCCTCACGTACGACCCGAAGTCCTTCAACGACTCCGTCGTTTCTATGCACCTGAAAATCAGAAATTTTTCCGTTTGATCAATCGATCGCTTGCATGGTAACGTAGCTCATCCCCCTGGCCACCACAAAACTGTCTTTCTGTGCTCATCGATTCTAGTCGTTTGTTCAATTGCCTTTGCTTTTTCCATTCGAATACGTGTAGTGTACTGCCCGGTAGGACTTGGATACTGTAAAGAGTTGTTCTCGAAATTTCCTAATTGCTTCTAATTTCTTCTGTTACATTAGAAATCATCGAACTTTTACTCAGCGCTTCTCACTTGATCCTGTCCCTTTTATTTTGCTTCCTTGATTGACTAGTTGTTGCATAGTAGAGCTAAAATCAATATTGTGCTTATTCGGGTAATAATCTGTGATATTTAACCTATTTTTTCTAAATAAATCCTATATATTAATCTGTTTCCATCTCTATGAGCGATCTATCAGTTGTAATCTACGTACTTTTTCTCTGGAGGGGTTCACCAACACCGAATTTGATCGGTAGGATGGGAACATAGACCCGAGGGTCGGCTGGAGCTCTGAGGGTACGGGTAACGACGCGTAGGAGTTACTTGATACAAATGATCGTATTCCTTAACTTGGAATATGACTTTTTATGTAGAAATGGGTCCTGTAACTGGTCTTAAACATCGGTCGCTCGGCACCGTAGTCTTCTACCTTCGCAGTAGCACCATCTTGTTCTTCCTATCTTGCTCCAGGGTACACATGCTTCCATAGCCCTGCGACCATTAGCACGATATTCTACCGGTCTAGCCACGAGGACCATCATATTTCTACGTTCTCTTATTCTTCACCGCCACTACAGTGCGTTTCAAAAGTATAATTATCACCCTCAAATTTGTTATTTACAGGATAAGCAACCAAGCCCATATCTTTCTGGCACCACCATTAGATTTACCTTCAATTACCCCTCATAAACCTACTTTGGCTTGTTCGACTTTTACATCAACTTTTGCATGGGGGTTTCCCCTTTTCCCTCGTTTCCTAAGTTTAAGATCACCCCCGACAGCGCGAAGGTTTCGAAATCTGTTTAGGAGAGAATGTGTCGCAAATGTGTTTGGAAGCAATATGCACTTTTTCTCGCGGAGGGAATCTTTCTTTAAAGGAAAAACCACAAAATCGAAATTTTCGTGATAAGGGTTCTGTGCGAGGACAATCGTGAGATCCTTCAGCTCCGTTCAAAGGTTCTGAAGACTACAGAGCCCCCACGAGGACAGGATGCTCGCGCAAGCTAACAGCGAACGACTAGAGGAGAATGCTGAGAACTATTTAGGACAAAACCGTGTCGTTGAACAGAGTTCGATCGGACTCGGGTCTCTCGGTGTCCAAAAATACTGAATGGATAGCAATGAAAAAGAGCAGCAGCACTGTCAGGGCTCCGAGGCTTACCGATCACTGTAGGAAGGCACGATCTGAATTTGCGAAGTTGAATTAAGGACGAGATTAGAGGAAGGTCAGCCCGTATTCCCGATTAGCCATGCACCCCAATATTCTCGTTCAGGTTGTATTTTTCGATGAAAAGAATTCAATTTGGAAGGCCCCGATGGTTACAACTGCTACTGACATGACTACAAAAAGAGCCGATTAACTCCAGCCACCGCAATTTTGGGGGAGGAAGCGTCATGGCATGGGGTGCCTTCTGCAAAGATGTCGATCTGGAGCTCGATCTCGTGGCTTACAAAATGGACTTAAAGGACTTTCACGATGTCTTACAATGGCACCCAGGCCATTTTTGAGCCGGCGACGTGGTCCTAACTACTTTTTTCAACAGGACAGTGCTGCGATCCCAGGAAAGGCTGGTTTCTTTACCAAAATTTCGAAGTTCTGACAAGGCCAGCTTGCAGTCCCGATCTAAATCCGATGGAGAATCTGTGGGGCGTTGTTGTAAGAAAGATTTGTGCGAACAACCATCAGTTCAAGGCGATAGAAAAGCTGAAGCAGGCAGTTCTTGAATCTTGGAATGAAATCTCCGGCGAGGTCTTTCGAAACCTTATTTCGAGTATGCTATGAAGGCTATTCAATATAGGGCTAGAACAGGGAAGACTCATCGACTACTAAATGTTTTTTGGTCGTTTTTAATGATAACTTTTTCAAATTCTCAAAATGATCTTGTACTTATGAAGCGGCGCAAAATTGAAAAATTATTACAAAAATGTAGAAGTTGATTTAAAAAATGTCCCTGCGTGGGGGTTATTCAGGGAGGTGAATCTGACAGTAGTGCTTGAAACTTATCTGCCTGGCTGCTTATCCTGTAAACACCAAATTTGTGGGTGATCTACTACTAGTACTTATGAAACGCACTCTGTATTTTCCAGTTTTTACGGTTGANTACCGCCACAGTATGGGCCACTGGTTGTCCTGCTTTTGCTGTCGGCATGTTTCGTTCGGTTTTTTTTTTTGCTTCATCAGTGTTTCCCGATCCCGCAGCGAGGCTCACCATATTTTACACATAAAATTGTTCTTCTTGGTTTTTTGGTGGTCCAGTCGCCAGCACGACCACAATCTGGTGATTTCAAAACGAAGACCATCATGTTTTTGCGATACCGGTGCCAACATGGTTGACGGGAAACTCATTGGGGATTGTTGCACTGCTCTATTAGCAGATTTTTCGTACTTCTAGCATTTCAGTTTCCTCTTAGCTTTCCCTTTATCAAGTATTTCGTAGTTCTGAATATCGAATTCGTAGGCATGGCTCACCCCAGAATGAATAGTTTTACGTCGAGTGGTTCTATTTTTGCCACTACAATCTTGAGATAGAGTATACATTCTAATTCGAGCTGAAACGCTGATCTTATTTATTTATTTATTTATTTATTTATTTATTTATTTATTTATTTATTTATTTATTTATTTATTTATTTGTTTATTGCACTCATGGTGCACCATAGCTATCAACTTCTTCAAGATTAATTTATTCAGTTCGAATTATAACATGCGCAAAGAATAAATTCATAGTATAAGTCGGTAATGACCCGAAAATTGTAATGGCGGTATAGTTAGTTGTACATGAACATCGATAAATCAACAAAAATTATAAAATCGATCAATAGTATGGAATTGGAACGGAAAGGGGACCAAGAGAAGGTGAAGCTGCTGCTCAGCGCAGATGAATAATTCTAGTTACTATTTTCCGGAACTTTTGGCACTTCTCTCCCGTTGGCGCCTATCCGTTCCTGTCTGAGCACAGTGGGTATGCTCGGTGCAGCTACGATTGCTGACATGAAGATTTTTGACTTTATCTGCCTATACCTTTATTCCCTTCTCCTCCAAAGGGGTCACACTAAGCCAAGCCGCAAAATGACCGCGACGCAGCAGCGCGCGTCTGATCATGCTATGCTGTGAGCATTTCCATACCACATAATAATTTTAGCTATAGACATCAACAATCAATAAATGGCTGTTTCGTGTGGGAACCGTAACGCATGCAATCGATCTGGGTGGCTTTTCTGGACACGAGGGGAATCCAACTCGTTAGTGTCGAAGTGATCGTATCGTGTTGACGATGCACTGTAGGCGCTGTGCTGCGACAAAGAGCGAGAAGAAGGGTCGTGGGATTCGTGCAGTTGCTGGGAATTCCTCGATGATCGTGGGGTAACGTACGGCGTTGGCAGTGGTGTGATGATCTTCTGTAGTGGTGGCTCGACAACTGAAAATTCATTCCTTTTTAATAAATTATAAAAACGAATGTTGTTAAACTTGTACTCGCTCGCGAGAAGCTCGAAGTCGCTCTAAGTATAAACGGTATGCGCGTAAAGTACCTCACGGCATCCCCCGCTGCGCGGTGCGGCAACTATCTGGGAGTCGCCGGACCCTGTCAACGGATTGGGACCTTCTAGCTGAATTTTTCATCAAGCATGAGTACAGCTCTGCGACTTCGGGACTACTCCGGATTTCAGGGACCCATTGGAACACGCTTATCAGACGGAGCATCTCCAGCCTCCCATACATGACAGAGCTGTAGTGACGGTACGTCGATAATAGTGTGAACGTGTCACCGCTAAGTAAGGCAACCGAAGGCGATTGTGAGTTTGCCGAGTATAAACGCAATCTTCAAGCTAAAACATACCCATTGCTCTTGTCCGGCGTACGCTGTTACTTCGTCGCACTGACTCACTTCGCCTGGGGCAGCCACTTTTTGGACGGAACGTCCCTGCTCCTGTAACGATCAGCCCTATGTGCTACCGGAAATAATGTTTTCAACGAATTATATAACATTTTGGAAGTTTTCTCACCATCGGACCAGAACTTCGAGAATTCTTTCACATTTCGATTTGTGTTACGTTGTGACTGCGATCGCCTTACAGCCGGACCTGTAGGTGGGGCTGAATGGATTAGTTGAGTGTTTGTTAATCTTCTTCCAATATGTATCAATGGGTTCAGTTCCTACAGTTTCTCATGTCTGTAGTTCCTACATCTTAAATATATCATATGTATCGATTTATCGGGCTAGAACGTACCGCTGTTGCAACTTCGAACGCGCCTCCGAGATCCACTGAACTTGGCAGCTCGATTAGTAGACTGAGATGCGCCCATAGTCTGAAATATCGAAGATTTCGTGGGATAACCGTACAGTAGGGTATATAAAGGTACGGTAGTGTTCTTCTTGTGAATAACGAATCGAGTAAGAAGTAGTTAGAAGGACTGGGCGAAAATTCTAAGAATTTGTCAGATCTATCTGGAAAAGACACAGAAGGATCTCTAAGTTATTGGACCCCAACATTCAAAACCAGCAAGCTAGACGGTAAGCAGGTAAGCAAGCCCTTCCACATCACTTGAGCTAGCTGTGGTGAGTAGTAAAGGTGCTTAAAAGGTTAATGTAAAGCAGAGGTCCATACGAGAGCGCCTGAAAGGAAATAAGAATGAGGTGCATACTCCATACTTCTAATCAGCAATGTCCTAACCTGTCCCCATCACGTCTGAGTTTTGTACCTGCAGCAGAGGATGAGCCTACCTACCTACCGGTTGCACCATTTACTTTATCCTAGCTTAGGTTTTCAAAACTAGGATAAGTTAGAGGCATGTGATAGCTACAAATAAGAGGGGTTACGTTTCAAGAGATCCACCTAGGAAATAGCTCGGGATCCATGATAGCTACCCAGCCCACCATTTCACACCTTTTATGATCGATCCATATAAGTATCTTCACCCAAGCTTTGGTCTGGGACAAATGTATTTCAGAAAGATTGGCAAACACTTAGCCAAGCAATTTCAGAATGGCTTGTAATGCTAGAAGAAATGTGCTTTTTCCACTTCACAGTAAGTAAGCAGCCTACGAGTGGGTAATCGGCCGTGAATGAAGTTGCCCACACCTACGCAAATACTTAAGGTAAGTGGAAACCTTGGTTGGAAAACTCTCGAAAACAAATGAAAACCAGGGAGATTGGTCGGAATGGGAGTTATGAACGCATTGAGCTGCACCATCTGGAATTACAACGAATGTACATATGTAAGAGACTGGAGTCGGGCTGTAAGCATACTGGTAAATGATGAAAAATCAATAGAAGGAAAAAGACAAAGGTGATTTTATGCTCCATAACTCCTGCGGGTGGGTAAACGCACTTATGCAGGGAGATGTTTGAAAGACGGTAGGGAGTGCTGTTGAGGACTCATTTTGCCTAGAAATCTGGTTCTAAGAATGCCAGTAATGTTATTCATGGGATCACCTAGGCTATCCAGAATTCCTCCCAAGTAGGATGCTGGTTTGAGGCCCTTTCAGCTAGGTGCCTTCATATGGGAGAGCCATTACTTGGATTCCACTGATCACCCGCGAAGTTATCCCATCGGAATGCCTCTTCAAGGGGTTTTGTGGGTACACATGCTCAAATCATTACAAGTAAGGGGATACTAGAATCATGAAACCATCCTTCTTTTGCGTTGTGACCTACACCGTTGAATACCCGAGCACTAACTTCTTTGACCTGTCCAATCGAACCACTTCC